AAAGTCTGGAACAATATTCTCTACTTTCTTGCACTGACAGAAAATTCATCTTATGTAACTGTTATACATCACCTGAGGTCATCGTCGTGTTATTGGTGATGGGACCAGTATTACAACGGCTTTTAATCCCACATTTTCAGAGTCTGCCACACAACATCTGTTTGTCTCGACTAAACAAAGTTAGTCGGTTCAATGTATTTGTCTGTCAGATGGAGATGCCAAAATGGACAAGCCTCATTTACCCCGCAGCAGCCTGGGACCTGCCCCCACCTCTTTTTAGTAATATTTTTTAAATGTTCGGAAATATAGCGTGCACAAAGAAATGTCATAATGAGAGCACTTTAAGCATGTACAATCACAAGCAGTGAACGCTGCTGTGTCTAAAAGTTGAGCTAGTTTCAACTCTGGGCCTGCCCTCTCGCCCAAAACGTTACTAGCATCCATCAACAATCTGTGTTTTTCTGTTTTTTAGAGAGATTTTACAAAGGGTTGCTGACGTCATGATCATATTTACCTTCATGCATCTTGCTGATGCTGTAGCGGTAAGAAAAACATGCAATTCATGATTTCAGACCTAACACAGACATTTTCTGAATGTGATCTGAGCAACTCCCTGGTTGATACGGACAGGGTGTGGCTGGAGGCGTTCTCAGAGGAGCAGGAAAACAGGCGATTGGAGCTCTGTGTAACCTGGTGGGATACTACTTCATTGGTTTCCCTATCGGTGCGTCCCTAATGTTTGCAGCAAATATGGGCATTGAAGGTAAGATTACACCATTTGTATTCAACTCTGAGATGAATGCTGTGCGCATTCTTATCTGCTGCTCGTCAGTTAATGTTCAGGAAGACAATTTAAACTCTTCTCTCCTCTGTGTCAAAGGGCTGTGGACAGGACTCACCATTTGTGTGCTAATGCAGGCGATATTCTTTGTCACATATTTGAGCAAACTTGATTGGAAGAAGGCTGCTGACGAGGTGCGTACCTACACCGCTTAACCTATTCGAAGTGGGGATTAATGAGGTGGGTACCACTTTACAATAAGACTACCCTTATAAAGGATTCATAAAGGGTTTATAATTAGGTTATTAATTAGGTTGTAAACACTTTATTCATTATTAAGAACCATTTATAAACCAGTACTAACATAGTTTTCATACATCAACACAGGCTCACTATTTGGCAAGATGACTAAGCCTTATATTGGCTACTTAGCTTACTTCGTCTTCTTCATCAGCCAACATCCTTGGTGTCGGTTGTTCAATGAGTTGATTCCCCCCATCCATCTTGATGTTTCTTGGCATGTCTTTATGACCATTTATTTACGAGTTACTAACATTTATAACTGCCAAAAGGGAGCCTTATTGTAAAGTGTAAAACACATTCCCATTTATTAATGAGTTACTAGCATTTCTAATAAGGCTTAGCAGTACAGATAAATGTGGGCTCACTATTTGGCAAGCAACCGGTCACAGTTGCCCTGTTTATCTCATGTCTTATACAAGCTTATTAATGATTTATAAAGTGTTCACAACCTAATTAATAAATGAATTACAAACTATTTGTAAACCCTTTATAAGGGTAGTCTTATTGTAAAGTGGTACCATGAGGTGCATCCATAGTGAGTGTATACCTACATTAGATGGCAGTCAGCACACCCCTAGTGTAACAGATTACGGCAACGGTAGACCAGTCCCCAAATAAAATCTCAGCTGACAGAAAAATGCTCCGTTTTAGTTAAATCACACAGTTACATGTAAGCTCACACACACTATTTTACGAACACAAACCTACTGAATAAAAAAAAGAACAAATGAAGCAAAGAAAGTGAAAACCATAAAGCAGATTCAGGCAGTAGGCGTCTAGATTCACACTTAAAGTATTAGCCTACAGAACAGTACAGTTTACAGAGATAACATCTTATCCTTTTGCAAAAAAAACGATATGCTCTTTTTAGTTTTTTAATAACATTGTTATCCTGCTAATAATCCATTTTTAGAAATGCAATCTTATGTATTTGTTTTATGTAAAAAAATACAGTTACGTTGTTTGCATCCTGAAAACGTAATCCAGTTACATGTAATCCGTTTCTCCACAAGCCTGCACACTATGCCTTTAAAACATGCTGTGAACTCTTTTCATCAGGCTCTTGTGAGATCAGGAGTCCAGATCAAAGAAGAAAAGGAGGTGGTGAGGATAGAAAATCCAGGTTAGTTCTGACACATTTAATGATACTTCTTTGTGTGACATTATTTTGGTAAAACTGAAGTTTCTCCCTTAAACCCTCAGACTCGGATCAGAACCAGTACGAGGTCTGCACTGCTACTTTCCATTGTGAGAGTTCTGAGGAGGGCGGAACACCTCAGGATCCGAGTGTCCCAGGCCAGAACAAATCCACCACCACCACAGTGGGAAACGTTCTGTCAGTCCAGCAACTGGTTTTACGCCGTGGACTCACACTGCTGCTTATGATCGTCATCCTCGTGGTCGGGGTCTTCGCAAGTGAACTTTTCACCAGGCTGCTGAAATGAGTCGTCGCATGATTTAAGATCAATCCTGATGGCTGTCCCATGAACAAGGTGCATTACACAATATTTTCACCTTGTGGTGAAAGGGTTACTGGTGCTGTGGATACCGAGGATCTAGCTTTGCACAGCGTTTGGCCAACAACCCTCTCATGTAACTGGACAACAGCTCTATGGCTGAACTAAACAAGGTATAAGGCGTGGAATAAAGAGGCCGAGATTGATTTTTTTTGTAGGACAGCAATGGGAAACTTCACCTAATATGGCACATAAAGGATGAAAAATGCTTGATGCAACTCATGCATTTCTTGAGGTATGCCGTGTTTGAATAGCCATAACAAGCACCATGAGTAAAAGGCTGTGTTATGTATCACAGTGGAACATGCCAAAGTAAGGTAGGAGGAATGAAAAAGGGAAATGTGTTGACGATGTTTTGACTTTAATGGATCATGTGACATGAGTTTACACACTGTGCCTTGGGTTGAAATGAAAATGACCTGTATTTTTATAGTTTTTAAGTTAAGAATTGCTTGGATCCATTTTCTTTTTTCACACATTAACCCACATCGTATTGGGTGAGAATTGTGCCAATTTACGTTCAAATATTTCATACATACTACCTAGCTTTTTCATTCGAAGAAGGCCTAAAAGCAGCGATATAAGTGATACCATTTTGAAGGTCTCTTGAAAAATGTTTTGCATCTGTAGTTTACCAGGTCATTTGAGCCCCTAACACTGACCAGAGGGACTCTACCCTTAAGGTGTGTGCTGCTGAGGACCCAAGGTAGTACATTGCCCCCGACCTCGCTTGGCCCTGCAGGAGTTTGGTAAGCGCATGCGCCATAGACTTGTACAAAAACAAAACAAGAGCACAGCCATGTCCGCTAGCAACCACTACAGGACGTAAGTGTATGTTTTCTTTCATTAAATAGCAGTGTTTTAACAGAACACAAGTGTAATAAGTAATAATGACAGAATGTGGCTGTTTGCAGGTAATTATGTTTCTGGTAGACAACCCCATGGCCAAAAATTACCTGACTTTAGGAACAACATATGGTGAGTTGTGAGGTCTAACACTGCATTGGGCTTTTTGAGTGTTATTGATGGGTTTTTATAAAATGGTCAAGTCTGAGCTGTAACCTCATACGGTATTGGACAAGTATGCGGGCCGTATAAGGGTAAGGAACATAGCACCATAGTAAAACACTAGGAATTAGTAAATAGTAACATCACATATCCAAACGCAAGGAACGTGTGAAAGATGAGTGTAAAATAATGTGAAAATTGTAGCATTTTGTCATTGAAGTTTCTTTGTTGCTGTTGTTGTTGTTGTGGTCAGTTCCTGCAGTATATACACTATATGTAAGATAGATGTAGATGTTCCTCAATCAGTACATGGTTTATTATGCACATGAATAATGGTTTTATCTTAGCAATAATATTGGTTTAATGCCAAACACAGTGACCAAAGTGAAAGTCAGCTATACAAAAGAAAAAGTTATATAAGCACAGTTTTCTACAATGAGTAATATTGGAATTGTCATCTCATAATATACAAATAAATTGTGTGTGTGTGTGTGTGTGTGTGTGTGTGTGTGTGTGTGTGTGTGTGTGTGTGTGTGTGTGTGTGTGTGTGTGTGTGTGTGTGTGTGTGTGTGTGTGTGTGTGTGTGTGTGTGTGTGTGTGTGTGTGTGTGTGTGCAATCAGGGAGTGGAAGGCCGTCTTGAGTATCCCACAGAAATTCCAGTACCATTGCCTGACCTCAATATTCTTCAAGGAATAGTAAAAGATTTTGTGACGAACTCTAAATTAAGTCAAAGGCTGTAATTTGTTGATGGACACCTTTGTTTTGGCTAGAAGGAACCCTAAGAATCTTAACAATATTTGTGTATATATAAAAAGGATAACGTATTAAAACAGGTCATGCAATCTTAAGTTTACACCACGAATCGAACTTGAGTCTTTCAAATTAAAATACAAAAGCCATGCGATTAGGCAACACTGTCACACAGGAGAGCAAAGCTACAGAGCAAGTGTAACAAGGCTGAGCAAACTGACCATGTAACCTCCAGAGTTTGGGAGAGAGCTGGTTCCATGTTCTGCAGGACGGGAGGATCAGAGTACAGAACACATTCATGGTCCCAGCTACGATGGAGGCCACCGAGGTCATGCCCTTTGTTTGTTTCCAAAACAAAATGGATTTGCCACAAAAGAGTACAAATGTTGAACATATAGACTTATATTTGCTTTTAAAACCACATTTATTTAGCTAATGTGGCCATTCCTCTGCCTTTGTGACCTTTTAACACTGGGCACATGAAGGAGCCACTAAGCCATTGCACGTGCATGTACTGTTAGCTTATGTACTACTCAAACCATGATCTTTGGTTGTTCTGTGTTTGGATAATACTACTTCCATGATGGAAAGAATGCAACTTCTCAACAAAAAAAAAAAGTGTTAGCTTAGAATTAACAGAACCCCACACTGCCTCAATTACCGCCTCTATTAATGGCAAGACAGCTGAACAGATGAGCAACTGCAAATATCTTGAACTGCCAGCACATCAGTGACATCCAAAGACAAAGACTCTGAACTCAGAGCAACACTACGGTTCCCGCTACTTTTCCACCATGTAAAATACCTCCAACAAAAACATATCACACATTCTGCCTCCAAAATCATCTACCACCCCACAGCCAGATATGAATCCAGAGCCATCACATGCCTAGCACCCACAATATCAAATGACACCTTCACACTACGACCTTGTCAGAAATACACATGGGAGCCTGCCTGCAGGCAGCAGTCTCAGGACACCTGCACTCTGAGGACACCTCCACTCTCAGGACAGGAAGTGCACGCTAAGAATTCCAAAATAAAATCGCCACTATCAGTACAGCGCCACTTTCCAAACAGGAAATGCACGCAAATACAAAATAAAATCGTATCGTGACACGTATTATATACATATGTGTATATATATATATATAGATATATACGGACACCTTTTGTAGACTATCAGTACAGCCGCAGCGCCACTTTCCGAACAGGAAATGCACGCTAATACAACATAAAATCGCACTGACACTTATTATATATATAGATATATATTTATTTATATATATATAAATAAGACATCTTGTATTTTAGTTACACCAGCTAGACAACAGTGGACTGTTCGAGAAACAACCGTGTTTTCCGGGTGCACCGCGGCGGAGGTGGGGAGGTTCCAGCAGGGAACCTCCACCCCGCTGCGGGAACCGTGGGACCCCTGACCCCCAGTTTCCACCGGGTCCGTCTGTGCCGTGTTACGGCTGCGCCGCGGCGGTCATAAGGATCGTGGCCACTCTAGTCAATGGGTGCTATTCCACCACACGCGCCGCGTTACGGCCCAGAAGCGGCTCGCCGCAGCGCTTCTCTAAAATTAGGATGAATCCTATTTTTGCCACGGCGCAGCTTTAACGTAAGGTCGGGCAGGCAGCCTCCCTCGCAGGAAGTGGAAAGGTGAGCATCCGGGCCAGGCCCACCCCCCACATATAATTTAGCAGACCCCCCTCCTTCATCACAACACCTCCACCACGATACGCACAATGGACGACGAGGTTTTCTTCATGGAAGTGGAAAAACACTATTTTATATGATGTAACCAATGCTTACTACAACATCAGAAAGGGCAAGGCCTGGTTTTTAGTCACTGCAGTTTGTGGAGTGGAAGGTAACAACTACATATTAATGTTTTAAAGTTAATTAATACCCGAATTAAACCCGAATCAATAACAAAACTGCGAGCCTGCACGCACGACGCTACGCTCCTGAAACGCTTCTGGGACGCGTCCGGTGGGTTATGGCGCTAGAACAAAACCGCGGCGCAGCCGTGATGCGGCGCAGATGGACCCAGTGGAAACTGGGGGTAATAGAGATTCTCAATAAATAGTAAATCAATAATAATAATATATCGTAATGTAGTAGGCAAACTTGGCTCCGGCAACAGAACAGACACTGGTATATTGACTATAATTCATAGAGATTTTCAAAAAATAGTAAATAAATAATAATGNGAAAAAGAGGCTGCGGCTGACAGAGCACACCCAGACGCGCTTACCCCACGCCAAAGCTTTAGGGCAGGAGGGGGGAGTCCTCCACGTTATAGCACACCTCCGTGGGGTAAGCGCGTCTGGGTGTGCTCTGTCAGCCGCAGCCTCTTTTTCTCTCCACGGTTACGACCGAGGGAGAGGTGAGTGAGGCGGAGCGGCTGCTAACCAGAAAGACGGTCAGAAACAATGAGATGGAGCAGTGTTGTTGTGGGACGACAGCGCGTGTATACATCGGGGCTCCGCCCAATGTAACCATAGAGTCCAGTAGAGGGCGGAGCCTGTGAGAGATATAACGAGGGGTTACGTATGGTAACCCTTGTTATATAGACACAGGCGGAGCCCTCTACCTCTGGGGCCCTGTCTGTCCTATGCTGCTTGCTGAAGAGAAGTAAAGGATGGCTGTGAGGAGATGCACACGCGTTCAGGTAGGCCTGCCCAGGGGCCGGCTACGTCTAGAAAGTCTCAGTGAATGAATGCTTGCATGATAGGATGGAGGGGAGTACCCATAGAGTCCAGTAGAGGGCTCCGCCTTTGTTTATAAAACAAGGGTTACCATACGTAACCCCTCGTTGTGTGGGATTAAAAGCCGTTGTAATACTGGTCCCATCACCAATAACACGACGATGACCTCAGGTGATGTATAACAGTTACATAAGATTAATTTTTCTGTCTGTGCAAGAAAGGAGAGAATATTGCTCCAGACTTTACTCACTGGTCGGTTGTGAAGATGTATCCGAGGACATTTCTGGTACTGATGGCGATGACTGAAACAAAACATGCAATGAAGACTGCCATGGGAAAGAAACAAAGAAAGTGGTTATAAATTGATCAGATTTTTTTTTTGTTCACAGCTATGCTCTTTGTCTCAAATTAAATGTCACTGGATTGATACCGTTATATACTCCTACAGCAGTACCCTAATACCCCTAATGCAGTGGTTCTCAAACTTTTTCTGTCTAGCCCCCCCTTGGAGGAAAAAAGAAAGTCGGGCCCCCCCAAAACAAATAGTCACGTAATGGGCCAAGTTAACATTTATTAAAATAAATCAATATGAACATGAGCATTCCTTTGAGCCTGTTTTGCACTGCACATTTGTTCAAGACGGGGTTGCAGGCTTGATCTTCCATCCTCATCATGTACATTACACACCTGTGTCCTACAGCGCCCTCATAGGTTTCTAAGTGTAACTACGTGTACTACATGGCTCAATTTTTCCTACTGTTCTCTCTTGCCCCCCCCCCTGTCATGCCTCTGTGCCCCCCACCTTGAGAAACACTCCCTAATGTAAGGAATATGAAAGGTGGCACAACAACACTTCCTAAAATATGGAGATAAAACTTTAGTTATGATTATTTTGGGAGAAGAAATAAGTCTAAAATTGCAAATATCGCACCCATAAATTAATAATTCAATTAATTAATTATCTGAAGTGTATATATTAAATACATTTAATAATATGTTTGTTTATGTTTTAGATTCTTACTTTGTCCCTTGACATATGTTATACATGAAAATAATGCTTTAAAAAAACTAAGATTTGAGAGATAAATAGCATGGACGTACATGAACAGACGATGGGGATCTTGCAGGACAGCTTGGCCTGCTCTAGGTTTCCTGCTCCAAGAGCGTTCCCAACACGAACACTGGCAGCAGCAGCAAATCCTAATGGGAACTGTTGGAACAAAATAGACAAGTAATCACCAAGGGAGAATTAAAGCTATGTTTTTTTAAGCCAGAGTCGTGACCTTTTCTTTCATATAATGAAACTACATGGCATTGAGAAGGAAGAGTGCATGTACTCAGCCAAGGAGGACGCCATTAATGTTTACATCTCATGCTGTCAGGAACGTCCATAAGTCATGAAAACTTCTCTCTGCCCAGTGATACAGTAGGCAGGTGTAGTTAGCTAAAAAGAAAATAGTTCCAACATAAAACTCTGCAAAACAAAGTTGGTGGATGTGTTGAATAACCTGGTCATGACTTCTGGAAAGAGATATTGCTGTTGATTAGTTACATTATATAGAGAAGGAAAACTTTACAGCCGATATCTCTTACACTTTTCACTCACAGCTAAACAATCTAGGTTGATAAATACTACTGGTAAGAGGAAAAAT